ATGCCTATATTTCCACCTCTATAAATGTCCTTTGCTTCCTAGTTCTTTCCTCTTTGGCCTTCATTTGGGTTTCAGTAATTCCTCTCGGCTACATTGCCCTTGATTAAGTCCCACCAGGCATCCTACGCCCTTCTCTCCATCGATTTTAAGTCCCTTGTTGTTCCCTTGTCCCTGGGTTGGTTGACACACCCTTCCTTTCTCCCACCTCCCTGGTTCCTGTGTCCCCCGGAACCATCAGTCCCATTGTTTTCTCCTCAGAATTGTTTATCCTACCTATCTTATCTAGATAGACCTGCAGAGACAATAATAAGCACAAAAACAAGACAAAGCCAGACAAAACAACAAAGGAAGACAAAACAAAATGGTGCCCGGCTATTCAAAGAGATAGCGTCTGGGGTCCTAAAGGCTTGAAGGTAAACAAACGGCCATCTAGCTGAGAAGCAACAAAGCCCACATGGAAGAAACACACACACCAGCCTGTGTGATTATGAGGATTCAGTAGGATGAGGTATCAGGCTTCAAATATACACAACAAAAAATCATAATGTGAATGAGGGGGAGTGCAGAGTGCAGACCCAAAGCCCATCTGCAGACAATTGGACATCCCCTCACAGAAGGGTCACAAGGAAGAGACAAGGTAGTCAGGGTGCACTAAAGCACTGATGAAACATGCAACATTCCTCTAGTTCTTAAATGCTTCCTCCACCCCACCCCCCACTATCATGATCCCAATTCTACCTTACAAATCTGGCTAGACCAGAGCATGTATATGGGTACAGATAAGAGCTGGAAACACAGGGCAGATAAACCTCTCAGGACCAATAATGAGAGTAGCCATACCAGGAGGGCAAGGGGAAGGTGGGGGGAGAAAGGGGGAACTGATCACAATGATCTAAATATAACCCCCTCCCAGGAGGATGGACAAGAGAAAAGGGTGAAGGGAGACCGTGGTTGGTATAAGAATGGGGGATGGGAAATTTATAAATTAGCAAGGGTTTGAGGGAGGGATGATGGGGGAGGGGAGAGAACTGATAAGAGGAACTGATATCAAGGGCTCAAGTAGAAAGAAAATGTTTTGAAAATGATCATGGCAACAAATGTACAAATGTGCTTGACACAATGGATGTATATATGCATGGTGCTAACTGCTGTTAGAGCCCCCAATAAAATGATTTAAAAAAATGTTCTCACCACTAATGGCCTTGCTTGATCACCGGGTAGAGCCTCCCCGTGAAGTGAGCTCTTGGGCTGGAACATTTTGACTCAGCCCCTCTGGGGAGCAGGGGGCACCCCCAGCTGTATCCTTCCCCTTCTTTGGAACCTAAGCTGCATTGAGGACCACCCACACTATGCTTTTGCTGCCCCAAGTGCGGTCCTTGGAAGCTTACTTAGAAATGCAGCTTCTCAGGCCCCAGCCCGGACCTGCTCAATCAGAATCTGCATTTTTCATGAGCTTTCCAGATGTTTCCAGCGTGCATGCAAGTCTGAGAGGCCCTGCGCCAAACACCACTGTGGTGAAGTAGCTTCACGTGGCTCCAGTGTCCCCGGCTCCGTCACTCCGACCAAACGGCTGGGTGGGACCGTGCCAATAGGGTGTGGACAACACTAATCAAGGGGACAGGTCAGTTCTAGTTGCCACTCCCTGGGCGACGAGTGAGTCACCTCAGCAGACCAAAGAGCATTCCTGGGACCACCAGGGCAGGGCCGCCAGGCAGCAGAGCAACTTGATAGTCCTGCCCGCAGCGGCAGACACAGCCGCCACACCGTGTCACGCGGAGACCATCAGGCAGCGGAGCAGTGTGGACACTGTGGCTTCCCGTCCCACGGAGGCAGAGGTCAAGGCGCCCTGTGGCTGAGAGCCTGCGGGCCAGACAGAGACTTCACTGCTGGCTCAGGAGCAGTGCCTATGTCCTGGCCGTTGCTGGGGCCCTCGAGCAGGTCCCCACCCATAGCGACCTCATGGACACAAGGAGACACCGCCCAGCCTGCGCCCTCCTCACCCTTGCTCCTGTGCCTGGACCCTCGTGGTGGCGACGCTGTCAGTCCACCTTGTCGAGGTCCTCCCCTTTTTCGCCGTCCCTCTACTTTACCAAGCACGATGTCCTCCTCCAGGACTGGCATCCTCCGGACCACACGTCCAAGGCCTGGAAGACCGGCCTGTAGTTTACGAGCCCGGGCTTGAGGAGGCTCCCACAACTGGGAGTCTTGTCTGTGAGTTCCCGCAGAGGCGGAAGGCCCTGGGAGGAATGGCAGGTGTTGGAACAGGTGAAGGAGGTGGAGGTGAAGGCAGATCCGACCTCTGCCTCGTGGCAATAGGCCTCCGGCTGCGGGGCAGTTGGGATTCCCCCCCTTGTGCTGAGTTCAAAACGAGTGGTGGTGGTAGCCACTGCCACTGCTGCCCACAGCCAGGAGCCCAGGCCTGGCTGGCACCACCAGCGCCACAGCAGGCTGAGGGTGGCGGGTGCTGGCCTGCACGGGGAATGGATGTCAGAGGGGGTTGGGGAAGGCAGAGCCCTTCCTTCACGCTCAGGGATTGGGGCTCCTTAAAGCATTCAGGGGAAGTAATAAACCAAAGAACTGCTTTCCCTTATGGAGAGACACTCTTACAGGACCACAGACATCTAGGCAGGTGGGTGTTGCCCTGACCACAACACAACACATACCTGTGTGTCCTGTTGCGCCACCTACTATAGTGTTGGGTGGAAATGTGGTGACAGCCGTTGGTTTCTTGATAGGACTCCTCTGGCCCTCATCTTTGTGACGCCCCCCCCCCCCCCCCAACACCTGGGTCTGATTCCGCCAATGCTCGTGTGGCCCACCTAGGGGATAGGCTGGCTTGCTAATAAGGCCCATGGCCCATAGGGACCACACAGGAAGGGTGTCGGTGACCTTAATGAAGGAACTGGCCAGCTTTGCCCTCCCACTGTGCTTAAAATGAACAAGAGGCAGAAACAGGAGCTCACTCCCCTCAGACAAGCCACCAGGGGTGGAGGCTGTCCTCTGGCTCCTCGATGCTGCAGTCGGGCGGTGAGCCCTGGCAGTGAGAAGCTGCAGCCGAGAAATGGTGGCAGGAAAGACAGAACTGGGAGACTGGCACGGAGTGGTGGGGCTTCCCAGCTCACAGAGTGCGCAAGAGTGGCGTGCCTCCGGTGGGCACTTACTGGCAGGGTTAAACGTTTTGGGGGTCCTTGCCTGAGCCGAGTGGTGACCAGGCCAAGGCTTCCAGTGCTGGGGAGAGGTATGCTTGCAGGAACGGCAGAGGCTGTCCTGAGTCACTGTATCCTGAACCTTCTCTAGCAGAAAGCATACTTTCCAGTGCTGAGTGTTCTGTGTGGCCACCGCACTGATCGGACCCAGCAGAGAAGCAGCATGCCGCAGGAGGCACGCCTGCCCGGCCTCCCGGGCCTCAGCCTTGGGAGACTGCTGCGGATAGTAGCCCCCCTCCTGTCCCCTCTTGTTTGCAGTCAGATGCCATCCCCTGCCAGTCTTATAATAGCTCAAAGAAATCATGACCCAAATAAAATTCTCAACTCAGTGCCATCACTGTGGCTAGTCTAGTTCACGTTAGGAAGCGAGCCCGTTCTTTCTGCTTGGGTCAACATCCCGAGTCACCCCTCCAGTCTTCACCCCACATGCAATCACTCAGCAAACTGTCAGCTCTCAACCCTCCAATGTGCGCTGACCCTGCTCTCGGCTGTTCCGACCTTAGTACACGTCACTGTGGGCCACCTCTCCCCTCACTGCTGGGCAATGCTCTATTTTCTCTCGTCGACATTTGTTCCTGCCACCCCCCAGAGGATCAGGATATTCTCCAGACCCTCAAAGCATTCTCATGTCCCGTCTCAGACCCTGGCTTCATTTCCCTCAGTCTCAAGCCCTTGGCTAAGCCCTCACTCCGTGCATGGGCCCGCTGTCTGCTGCCCCTCTCCTAACTCAGCCCACTGCCCCTTACAGTTTGGGCCCTAGGGAGGGCACACTCTCATTTCTCTGCCTAGGGATTTGTAGGCTGGACCTTTGACCTTGATTCAGTACAGCCTTCAGAGGAGCCCCTGCTGTCCTACAGCAGTCCTTAGCACCGATGTCTTCTTCCACTGGGGCAGGAGGCGGCTGTGGGGTGGGCACCGAACAGCTGTTCTGGCTCAATGTTGCCCTCCCCCCCCCAAGGGGTTGTGCCATGTGAGGTGCTTATTAGCTGACCTGGTGCATCTTCAACATCCCCCCAACTCCCTACACACGCACGCACACACACGCACGCGCTCCAGGGTCCTGGGAGGGCAGCAAGGCAGGCCTTTGGACAGAGAGACACAATCACCTCCAGACTAGGGAGACAGCACTTTTACCTCAAAGGAAATGGTGCTGCCAAAAGTGATTGTTGTTGACTGTGCAGTTGCTCTGATTAACCAGTGAGCTGTACAGGGTGTGCATTACATGCCAATAACCAACAACACAGCATTACAGATCTTTTAGACAATCCTGTGACACCCACCTTTGGAGACAGAAGCAAATTTCTCTTGGGCAATTTAGAGGATATTTCCTGGTAAAATATATTTTATGCAAACAATGCATGTTATACGCTTATTATTTTCTTTACATGTTGTTGTAAAAGAAACCGGCATAGAGCACTGAGGAAAATACCTAGCCCCCGGGGATGGGGGAGGGGAGGAGAGCAGGGTTGGCCCAACGGACCAAGCGCTCGTGGAGTGAAACTAGAGAAGACTTGTCCTTGAGAACACCCATGAAGGTACAAATGTGTTCAGCAGCTTTGGAGGTAACGGCGATGGGTACACCCATTGTGCATGGAGAACCTGCCGTATTTCTGCGCCCACCTCAAGCAGCAGCGCTGCGCCAGCTTTGCGGTCACCCAAGAACCACTGGTTTGCACATCAGAGGGACACGTCGTCTTCTGTGGACGGCGCCATCTTTCGAGGGAAGTCAAGAGAAGACCTCCTTGGGTAGCCTCTTCCCCGCGGGCGCAGAAGAACGGCACACAGAGCCTTCGATGCACTGGTTGTACCTTTATTGTTTGACCTCGTTCACTAATAGCTCTGTGATGCAAGGTTACCATACACAGTTAGATAATGTCTGCATTGCACACGTAAGGCTATACAGCAAAAGAATCCAAATTAGTACAAATACCAGAACCATATTTACATTCTGTATACTCAAGCTTCAGACATCCGATCCTATTTACAAAATCAAACGTGAAAATGAAAATCCGAAATTAGAATGTACATTGTTGCTCGTGTGCTCAACTCCTTCACTGGGGAGAGATCAGTTTGCAGAGTCTTGGTTCACAAAGGCCACTTATGCGTCGCGGGTTTTGTGGTATGTAGTGTAAGGATAGTGACAGAGATGGGCCTCTCAGTGGCCACAGTGTCCCCGAGGCCAGCAAAGGGTTGGTCTGAGGTGTGAAACCACCACACCACAGCCAGGGGCTGGCCAGGGAGCAACCCCAGCCTGATGTCCGCCTGGGCACAGCCATGGGGCGGGAGTTTTCAACATGAATTTTATGCCAATGACAATTTACTCTCGAAATGACCGGAGGCTTCCCTCAGATTTTGTGGGGCTCAATTACTAACTCATAAATGGCCTTTTGAACAACACAAAGAATCTCTCAGCTGATATTTCATTGGACCAAGGAAGCACAAGCGAGGGCATCCCCTGCGGCCCACGGTCATGGGCTGGCCCACAGCCTCAGGGATGCCTCGGGGTACCCAGGGGAAGAGTCCGGTTGACCAGGCAGGCAGCAGCCGTGCCGAGCAGCAGAGTTAGTCTTGTCTCTTTAAGGAGCAGTTTAACAATCACATTTAAAGAGGGATGGAAAGGAAAACCGAAGGACCTGCACCAGACAGCGAGAGACAGCTGGAGAGACAGCCGGCCCACCGAGCCTGCACAGGTGAGACCGAGTGGACACAGCGCCTGGGAGGCCCAGCACTGGCCGGGCTTCACACAGAAGAATCCTTTCTTTTCCAGTCCAGTGTGCAGTAAATTATAGCTGTATAAATATACATATACCTTACAAAATTAAATATCCCTGTAAATCAGATGACAAGCAGCAGGCAACAAAGTCTTTGCTTTGAAATATGTGCCAGGAAAAAGTCATCCTACGGTTAGCTCAACAAGACCTTTCTGACCGACAGAGTGGACGCCCACGGGCAGCCTGTATAGGACACACATTGTGTGCAGCTAGAGGAAAGGAAACACAAGTGGGGCTGGTCTCTTGGTTGGGAAACCACTCTGTAATAGAGCACTGGGGTCTGAGGCCCGAGCCTGGTCATGAGTCTGTGCATGTGCGGGGGCTGGCTGGCCTGGGCACACTGAGGGCTGACTGACCCCCAGGTCGGTGCACAGAGAACGGAGGCTCAGGACCCTGTGGTGTGCAGCTGGGATGCTCTTGGGCAGGAGGTGGGAGGCAGGAGGGCTGGGGTGCTGGAAGGGAGCAAAGATGAGCAGTTTCATAGCTAACCCTCAATTCTCTTCACTTTGCACAAGTTTTCTTCCTTGCTTTTTAGTTTTCCCTCTTTGTTAAAGGAGGTAAACCTTTAGGCACAAAATAAATAAGAAACCTCTTTCCCGGCCAGTCATAGCTACCGGTACTGCTGGAAGGCCCTGTGAGAGCTGCCGTGGGGAGGGCCTGGCACAGAAAAGCTGCATCCACTCCAACCCGAGGAAATGGGGGTGCCGGCAGGGGCTGCCTGTGCCTGTCTGCTGTGCAGGAACCCCTCACAGCTGCCCGAGTGCGCTGCCGGACACCCAGGTCCGGCCACCTCTGGCTTTGTAACCGGCTTTCTTCTCTGGGCACATTCCGGGCACGCAGTTCAGTCGGGCTCATTCTAATCTCTGGCACCTTCAAAGCAAAGACTTTCTCAGCGAGCTTGTTTGAGTTAGAGGACAAACCAGAAGTCCCTCAGTGCACTCGCGCGGTGGCATGCTCAGTGTCCCCGGCCCGGCCCACAGGCTCGAGTCCTTCTCCCACACTCCCTAACAGCAGCAGCAGCTGGGATTTCATTCCAAAGTCACCTTTCAATTCATCTTCTTTCCCTGAAATTAGGTTTAGTCCAGCCCAGGGAGCCGTCTCCAAGCAGGGACAGATCCTGGTTGAGTGTGCATCAGACGGGCGGGCTGTGCCCACTAGACAGTGAGGAAGCTCTACCTCCATCAAACACCTCACACGGCTTTGCTTGGACACAAGTAACATTACAATTAGTGACCTACGGTTTGGGGGGGAAAAAAAAAGATCCACCACTGAGTGCTGACCCTCCCTTTGCACCGCAGGCCGGTCTGTGGCCTTTGCTAACCAGACAGGCAGCGCTCAGGACGGACGAGGCCACCCAGCCAGGAGGGCAGACACCAGGCTCTGGGTGGTGACCAGCCTCCTTGGTACCTACTTTGCAGCAGGGCGCAAGCCCTTGGCACCTGCCTGCCTGAAGCAGGAAGTCCACCAGTGTCCTCAAGGCCCAGAACCCCTGGTCTTCCACAAAGTGGGCGCAGGGCTTCTTTCCCAAGTGGCTGAGGGACAGCTAGACAGAAGTTGCAGGGAGGAGGGGGAAGAGGTGGTAAAGTGACTGACATGACTGGAGACCTCTCTCCCAAGTCCTTCCTGTGGAACTGGGTGGCAGCTGAGCGAAACGGAACCTTCTACGGTGGCCTCTGCGGGCCAGGTGACCCAGCCCGTCCGAGGCGGAGCCTCTCCCTCCTCGGGCCAGGTCTCTGCACTTGTGTAGGGCAGGCCGAGGAGCAGCACCCACTGGTCAGGACGCATTCTCCTTCCTGGGGTTGGTTGTTCGTTCTCCGGCCTGGGGCCTGTAAGGCAGAGCCCGTGTGTGGTTTAGGAGTGAAGGCAGCTACCCTTGTCCACAAACAAGCATCCTTGACCACTGGCTTCAGGGGGGCCTCCACACCTATCTTGGAGAGCTGCCGTCTGGCTCAAAGTGAGCGCCAGCACTGACGAGATTCATTCCTCCTCCCAGGATCCTAGCGGAGGCCACAAGGACCATGGAGTGTGCTTCCCCAGAAAGTGAAACACTGCCCTCTGGCGAGACACGCAGGTATGACGTCCTACTCACCTACCCTCCCGAATGCAGAGGAGGGAATCTGGAAACTGAACAGCCCAGCCCGGAAAGAGAGAGGCCTGGTCAGAGGGCTCTTGCCCCCAGGAACAAAGCATTCTGCTAAGGGGCTGCCCTCATGCCTAGCCGGCCCGCTTCTCTGGTCCTTTGGACTGACCAGCAATACCTTGGGCTCCTCCCTTCTCTCAGGGTCAAGAACAGCCTCTGCCCTCAGCCTACTGAACAGTCTTCTCTTCTCACTTGCGCCAACTGGCAATTCCATCACTATGTCCAAAACAAGGCCCCGTCTCAGCTCCAAGAAGATCACAGCCCCATTTTGAAGCCCACAGAGCCTGTGCCCTGCAAAGACCAGTGAGTGTTCCTCTCGGGGTCCGAGCAGGTCAGATGTCTCCTCCCTTTGTCTCTGCGCCACCCAAGAAAAACGAAAATGCCGTCACCATCACAAACAGAGAAACGGAAACAGTGCAGTTGTTCTGAAAGACAAAGGTACGCTGAGATAGCAGTATGGACATCGGAGGTGGTCCGGAGGGGGACCCAGCAGAGAGAAGGAAGCCAGAGGACATCAAAAAAGTCAGGTGAACACTCACTGGGTCCCTCTGGGTTTGTTAGTGTGGGTGTTGTTTTTAGTTTTGTTTTTCCTTGTGTTAGGCCCCATGCTGCTAACAAGAATCTCAGCACAGGAAAGGAAACAGAAAGGCGTACACAGTGATGGAGAAAAAGTGCCGACGACGGTCGAGGTGGGGGGAGAGGAGTTAAGCCGCAGGGTTACAGACGAGAGTCACAGAGAGAAAGAGAGATACCACCGTCTTTATCTCTCGGAAGGAAGGTGGGTGAGACCTGCAGTCAGTACTGCAGTTGGCTGGGGCGACGCCGGGAGAGTTTGGACCTGTGGGAGACAAACCAGGGGACAGGATTAGAGGGTGGCTGGCCTCACAGGCTGAGCCACGGGCACTGATGAGACCCATCCCTCAGTGTGTCTTTAGGTTGTAGGAGAGTTGGGACAGAGACACACATTTTCCTAGACCCGCTCTGGGCAAAAAAAGGCTTGCAGCCCTCCCGTAACCTCAAAGCCGAGTGTGTGGCGCGAGTGAAGGGACCGTGCTAGAGTTTGCTGTGGGAAGGGGCTGGTTTGGTTCCTTCGCAGTGAGGGCAAATGACCATCAGTAAATCGGACACTGGTCACGGGGGCTGCGTGCACTCCTCTCAGGTCCCCTCTTTCAGGCCCAGGTGATAAGAACTACCAAAAAGAAGTGGATGCCCCGGACCACCTACAACCACCCCTGCACTCTCGGCGTCCTCCCTCTACTTTGCCCCTGCTCACGGCACTCCCTCCACGGCCGCCCTGCCCCACCATCCTTGGAACCACTCTTACCGGATCGTACCAGCGAGGAGTGGGTTAAAGGCATACAACCAGTCGTTCATGTCTTTGTCATTGAGCGCCTGCAGAAGGACCCCCCGGTGCTTTGTGCATACGGCAAAAGTGTTAGGTGTCTGAAAGAGACCCAGGAGATGGGAGGTGAGTTGAGAGGCTGAGCAGTGGGGACCTCTGCCACGTCCATGGCTGCACACAGCCCTCCCATGGAGGGCCAGGAGCCAGGTCCAGGGCGTGGGCAGCGAGAAAGGGCAGCACTGACCTTCACCATGGCCTGCTGGTCCTCACTGTACTCCACCTGTGCGGTGGACAGGTCAATGATCCCACGCTCCACTGGGTCTTTGTCACTGTTGTAGATGAAGACGTACGGGCGGCGGACCACAACAAAGTGCTTAGCCCAGTGGCTGGAGAGCGGCTCCTTGAGGTGCAGGTACCCCTTCTTCGAGACCACCGAGCTGCACAGGCAGGAGGGTCACCGGAGGAGTTAGTGCCGAACAAAAGGACATGGGCACAAGCTGACAAGTGGCAAAGTACATCTCGCCAAGGCTCAGCCTGGAGCGTTAGTGAGATGGCAGAATGGTCGCCCGGCCGCTGGGCTTCCTGGCCACGTGCAGCTGCGCTGGGCCCACCCGGGGAAGGGGAGGAGGCACCTCGCTACAACTGCAGCAGAAAGCCAGCCCGGCTCTTCCACCCACATCCAACTGGCATGCAAGTGTAGTCGCGGCCTCTTCCAGAAGAGCCAGAAGTAAATTCTTCTGAGTGATTTTTCTCACACCTCACATCCTTGTTCAACATAGTACTCACCCAGGTCTAATTTCTTCAATATCCGGAACAAGATTGAGAAATTCATTTTTCCCTGCTCGGGCCAAATACGGTGTTTCCACAGTTGGGACAATCTGAAACTGTTCAAATTCCTGGCAGGGACTAGAGGCCCGTGAATTGGCTTCTGGGGTCCTTTGAAAGAGAGAGGGTAGGAGGAAGCAAGGGATGACAAGCGGTTCATGAAGGTCACTGCACATGTCGATGACGCCCCCCCAGGTGGCACACACTGCCTGGCCCTGACCACCATGGACCCTGCCAGCAGAGACCACAAGCTGGTTTCAGAGTTAACCACGCATTCAACCGGTGTCGCCCTTTTGAGTTGAGAAAAGTGACAACTGCAGACCACCAAGTCCCAGTCTCCCTGGCCTGAAGCTCTCAGGGAAGCAGTGTCTGACCATGGCCTCCACTGCCTTTTCTGTTCCCACTTAGTCACATGGCCACACCTAAGGCCACCTTCCTCAAAGTGTGGTCCCGGGGACAGCACTTGGAGTTACAAATTCAAATTCTCAAGCTCCAGCCCAGACTGACTGAACCAGCAGCCCCGGGTGAGGCTCAGCCACCTGTGCTGCCACACCACCAGCCGGTGATGCTGCTGAGGGCTGAGGAGCACTGGCCGGGGATGAGGCACGGCACAGGCACACGTGTGGGAGGGCCTGGCTCTTGGTGACCACGCAGAATAGAGCTGCACCATGGCCAGCATGCTGCCAGGACGGCTTTGGGTGCGAGGACTGAGTCCCATGCTCTGTGCCGAGGAGGACAGCCCAAGGGCTTGGCTTCTGACTCTCTGGGCTTGAGATTCATCTGACAAGGGATGCACAGCAATTTTCAGTGGGTGATGCTTTTTTTCTTTCACAGTGGGCTATCAACAAATGTCTTACAGTGCATGAAACCCTACATTTTATGCCATCACCCAGCTATGCAGACTTCTCCAGGCACTTGTGGCTGTGCCAGGGTTAGGGAAATATGCCTCGGGTGAGGATACAAGTGGAGATGGGGGCATTATGAACCGAGCAGTGGCTTAATAATGAACTACGTGCTTTATGATATTATTTTTCTCACATAGTTTTTTCTATGTGGGGTTTCATCAAAACATTCTTCCAAAGGTCGGAAATGTCAGATGTTATGATTGAGGGGTAATCAGGGGTGGGAGTGGAAGGACGAAACAAGCTTAAGGGTATGAGTCATTAAGGATTTGATGCGACTTAAAAGGCAGACAATGAACGTCAGCTGTCATGTTCCCCTGGTTTCTCACAGCACCACTGGTAGCATTTTGGGTGGGCCCCGCTTCTCTGTGTGGGACCTTCCCTTGGAATGAACCCCCTGCAGCAGCCATTGTCACCTCCACATAGTTCCCAGAGGGCTGCCCAGGGTGGGGTGGGAGGTAGGTTTCTGCCCTCTGCTGAGAGCCAATGAGCCAGAGGAAGGTGGACATTTCCCTTGGTTCTAAGATCAGCTTCTCAAAGAGAATTCTGGGTACTTACTTCTGATCCAAAGAGTTGCTCCTTGAGTCTACCAGCGAGGGGCAGGTAGATGAGGGCGTGAGGGTAGCACTGCTGAAACTGGACACAGAGGGGTCCCGTCCAATCGGAGAGATATCAGACAACTGGAAGCAACCCCAAGAAGGCACGTGAGGTCAGATGGAGCCAGCTGCCTTTGCGGGAGGGGCTCTGACAGCTAGTGACCTCACTTTCATACAGCTGCTTCACAAGGTCACACATGGAAATAAGCTGCAGGAACTTGTGGCCTGACCATTACACCAGAAATCAAGTTGTTTAAAAAAGGGCACAGTGGCTTTTCTATGCTCCTGGTTCTGAAGGTGAATGGCACAACGCTCGATGTGCTGCCAGGTGCTGCCCTAACAGCATGGCAGACTCCCTGCCCTTCTGGAGGTTACGTCTAGTGGGGAAGGCAGACGATAAGGCAACCAATATGCACTGTCCAACCGCTCAGACCATGCGAAGATCTCAGAATCACAAAGGGGAGCCAGAGAGGCTGCTCTAGGGAGGTGATATTTGAGCAGTGAGTGACCGTAATAAGGTGTCAATCATGGGACTATCTGGAAGGAGATAGTGTGCAAGGGCAGCAAAGGCAGGAGTGACTGAGCCCAAACAGGCCAGGGTGGCTGCACTGGTGAATGACTCAGAAGTTCTTCAAAGCCTTCGACTGACCCTACTGAAGGCAGCAAAACCTGATGGCATTATGCCACCAAGAACTTTAGCTCATCCTTGTCGCCGTCATAGAGTGACACCTCACCTTCCTACAGAGTACTCTGTAAGAATTATTCCTATAGAATAATCCATGGGATTCAGGGGACAGTCAAACTGTTTCTACTGAACAATCATTCTAAGACACTCCCATGAATACTTCTTTCTTTGGAAGTCAGTGTGCTGACTCTGAAGAATTGGGATAAATATTAGGGTAGAAACAGTGTAAATTCTCTAATACAGTGATGTCCTTCAAACCACCCAATCTGGGGACAGGTGGTCAGAGCGCCTCTGGAGAAACCCGGCACCACACGCTGGCTGAACATGGGCGCCCACGGCTCACCTTGCAATCACTGATGCTGCCGTGCACCTGGCTGAATTCTCGGTTGAAGGTGTGTGTGAGAAGTCGCAGGCACTACGGAAGAGAAAGAACAGTGGGGCTGACCACAGAGTTTCTGAGGCTAAAGAACCGTGTGGCAGGGGAGAGGGAAAGAGCACAGCACTGGGACTCACAAGGGCCAAGCGCTACCAAGGCAGACATCTACCAGAGTGAAACAAAACCACAAGCAGACTCACTGTCACCGCACTGAGGCCGCTCTACTACAGCACAGGGTTGACCTGCGTGGGGTTCCCCAGACTGTAAGTATCAACAGTCGTAGAAAGGCCTGCTTCTCTCCCACGTCAATCCTGCCTCATCGTGACTCTCAGGACAGAGTAGAATGGTTTCTAAGGGTTTCGAAGACTGCAGATCTTTATGAACAGGCAGCTTCCATCTTTATCTTGCAGACTGGTAGGTGGGTTTGAACCACTGACCTTGCAATTAGCAGCAACCCAATCAGCTGCTAGGGCTCCTGCAAACTCTTCAATTCACCCTGGCACTACTACTAAAAGGCCTGGAGATCTTAGCAAATTCTCGATGACACAGCTTCTGAAATCAACTATTAAAAGAAAGTAAAACAAACGAGACACACAGCCCAGCTCATTTCCCTGGTCCCTTTCAGCCGGCTTCCCCAGACCGTACCCTCCAAGTCCTCCTCTCAGTGCCCCTTCTTCCTCACATCCACTCAGCAAGAGCGCCAGGTCTACCTCCTGAACACCTCTGACCGGCTTCTCTCCCCCAGTCAACACCCGAGCCCCTCTCCCCACCCTTTCCTGGGGGCCTCTCTTCAGGTCCCACCACATTCTAGCCACACCTCTATTACATTTTTGTCACCCACTAGTTTGCCCACTTCTTAAAGGCTGGTATTGAGTCTTATATTCTACATCCAATGTTAGCACGGGCCTGGACGTGCAGGCCCTCAGAGAGAGCTGTGCATAATGAAGAAACGGCAAGCCGAGCTCCAGGCCTGACGGTGGAAGATGGGAGTCACACCTTGGTTGCCAGCTCTTTCTCTCGGTCCACCAGGCTTTCGATGTCTGCCGAGTCATAGCCACTGCTCTCACTGGGTGTGACGGCGCTCTCACAGGTGGTGGTTGAGATCTGAGAGGAGATGCTGGTGGAGGTGCTGAGGGTGCCACTGCTGAGGCTGGGGGACAGGGAGTCGCTCAGGGACTTGGGGATGCTGTCACCAAGACGCTCACGCACTAGCAGGAAGTGCCGGGTTTTCTCCACCTGAGAAGATCAAACCCATTGCCTCAGCAAACACGCACCTCAAGGAAGGCTTCAATGAGCTATTAAAATAGTAGGTCTCCATAGACAGGGGAACAACTAGGGAATTAAAATCAACAATGAGGAGAACACAGATACCCCGGGGGTGTTAGAACAACAGCAATCTAGCTGAGAGGAATTACTGAGAGGCAGAAGAAGGGCGAGTGTGATGCTGGGGCAGGAGGAGGTAAAGGGAAACAGAAGAAAAGATCTAGTAAGCAAAGCTAGGGATAGAGGCATACACACAGGAGTACATATATGTAAACACATTAATTCACACAGATAGATGTATTGGCCTATGTACGTATATTTATATGGCAATACATTGAGGAAGTGGGTGGACTTTGGCCTCTACTCAAAGCCTGCCTCAACGCAAGAACATGTTGTTCTAACACCCTGGCTTTCTGTGAGGCTCACCCTCCCTGCATACTCACTGAAGACAAGATGGGTGCACAAGCAAATGTGAAAAAAGCTGATGGTGTCCGCTATCAAAAGATATATGTCTGGGGTCTTAAAGGTTTGAAGTTAAACAAGCGGCCATCTAGCAGAGAAGCAACAAGCTCACATGGAAGAAGCACACCAGCCTGTGGGATCATGAGGTGTTCACAGGATCGGGTAACAGGCATCAAAAGACCCACAATAAGCAAGCAAAATAACCCAACCATATTGTTGAGAACGAGGGTGGTTGGAGCAGATACTCCAAACCCATCTGTAGACAATGGGTCAGATAAACCCCTCATGAACAAATGGGTGTAGGGATTCCAGCAGGGGAAGGTGGGGAGAAAAGAGGAGGAAGGGGCAACTGACCGCCATAATTGACCCATAACCTCACCCCCACCCCTCCAGGGGAACAAACAACAGACACTGGGGAAAGGGAGACGGCAGTTGGTGTAAGATATGAAAATAAAAAGTTATAATTTGTCAAGGGATCTTGAGGGGGGAGGGAAAAATGGGCTGGTACCAAGGGCTCAAATAGAAAGTAAATGCTTAGAAAACAATGATGGCAACAGATGTACAAATGTGTTTGATATAATTGATGTGTGAATTGTTATAAGAGCTGTAAGAGCCCCAATAAAATATTTTTTAAAATAAATAAATAAGATAGTAGGTCTCCACTGGACACCCCCTCATAGAAGGGTCACAAGGAAGGGACAAGTCAGCTAGGGTACAGTATAGCACCGACAAAACACACCACATTCCTCTAGTTCTTTAATACTCCCCCGCCCCTCCACATCATGACTCCAGTTCTAACCTTACAAATCTGGCTAGACCAGAGCATGTACACTGGTACAGATAAGAACTCTTGACACAGAATCCAGGACAGAAAAATCCCTTAGGAAGAGTAATGGGAGTGGCAATACCATGAGGGTAGGGAGAAGGTGGGGGACCCGATCACAATGATGGACATATATAATACCCCCCAGCCCCACCCCCATACACACCAAGCAGGACGAACAACAGAAATGTGGGCAAAGGGAGACAGTGGATGGTGTAAGATATGAATAGAAGAATAATTTCTAATTTATCAAGGGTTCATGAGGGTGGGAGGGATGGGGGGGGGTGTTGGGAGGAAAAAAAGACAAGCTGATACCAGGGCTCAAGTAGAAAGAAAATGTTTTGAAAATGATGATGGCAACATATGTTCAAATGTGCTTGACACAATGGATGCATGGATTGTTATAAGAGCTGTAAGAAGCCCCAATAAAATGATTTTTTTAAAAAAAGAGAGTATAAAATAGTATGTCTCTAGGCAGGACAGCCTGGCGGCGGGGTGAAGGCCCGACAGTTTGGGAGCCCCCACAGCACTGAGTGGGTCACCTCGTGGAGCAGCTCCAGCTTCTCTAACTCCCATTGGTGCTCCAGGATGAGGCTGTCCCCGCGGGGCCGCCAGCCCGCTAGGTTCTCTTCTCCCCGGACATAAGCCACCGAAGTATCCAGGATTTTCCTTCTCCTTCTTTGCATTCCTAAAAAGAGAGGAGGCCATTTTTTCCCCAGGGAGGAAAAAAAAAATCACATTCCAGTTTTTGCTTATAATTAATGAATGATTCACATACATAGCAAGCTAAGATAATTTAGCTCCAAAATACATGGGCTTTCTTTCTTTTTTTTTTTTTGTGGGGTGTGATACGTTTATTCCGAGTCTGGTACATGTCACATTACGGACCAGTAAAGTGCTGTATGGTGGGTAATAAGCGGGTGATCCCTGGGCTGTCTGTTCTGTCACATAGGCCAGCTCAGAAGAGACCAGGGGCGCCCCAGCGAGCCCTCCTCAGGCTCTGAGGTCACACATGCCCCTGCAGACGCCAGGGCGGCTCCCCTCCTGAGCATCCAGTATCCTGGCCCCGGCATGGGATTCCTGTGCCAACCAGTCAGTCTGACGCCAGGCAGGAGCTCTGAAAGGGGGTCCCTGGCTGCGGCACAGGCGGGCCGGAGGCCTGGTGCTTTAGGGCCGGTGGTCCTTTCATCAGTTTGTGTCCCACCTGGGAGCCCCGCTGGGCAGCTTTCACCAGGCCTTTGAACTGACCCTGCAGCTTCACCTTCCTCCTGCGGTTGAGCAGCTGAGCATGGTTCTGTTGAAGGGGATGTAGGCGTGGGGGTCCAGCCGACCCTTCTTCATGTCACCCTTTGCTTTCTTGGCCAAACGGTGACGGATGCCAGAGCCTCCAGCTCGGTACTGCGGGGGCACCCTCTGGTTGCTGCTTAAGCTTCCATGAGGTCAGCTACCTCCTCTTCCTCACCTTTTGTGCCCTCCTCCTCCTCCATCTGGTCTCCATCCTCCTCCTCATGGATGATCAGCCGGCTGTCAGCACTAACCTTGAAGCTGTGGTCCTTCTTGCCCTGGCCCGGCCTGGGCTGCGTGGCTAGGACGCACTGGGCTACCTTGGGGTCCAAGAAGTTGAGAGGCTCATCCCCACCACCCTCTTTCAGCCATGCCTGGCTCCTCTGCTGAGCCACCTTCTGCTGCCCCTTGCCCCGGCTCCTTTCTGGCTTCTCCTCCTCGTCGTCCTCTGAGTCGGCCGGAATGTCCTCAATGCTGTCGCCTTTGCCCTGGGCAATGGGCTTTCTTTTATTCGCAGTAAAAATCATCCCTTTCCCCTAAAACAATTCTCCGAATTTCTTTTAAAACTGAATTTTACATTTTAAAAACAAGTGTGAAGACTGCACTGCAACTTGAAAAACTGTTTATGGTCATTACGTCAGGTAAAAATACATAGAAATAAAAATTATATATGTAAATTAAATATCCCATATACTATGATGTAAAATACACAAAATATACCCATATAAATGGGAAGGGAACACACACTCACAGTCACATGTAGAAATTCAATCAGGATGGTAATTAGATGATTTTCATCTGTTCATGTCCCATTTACTTTTTAAAATATTATAGAAGTTACAGGTGAAATATACGTATTTATGTTCATTTGAAAATCCTTCAAGGAGCTATGTGGACACTATAATTAGTTGCTTCCAGGGCTTGGACTTATACTCAAATCTTACTTATAGACACCTGACTCCTTTTCCATCTACGTTTCTTAAAATAACTCAAACTCACAGGAATCAAGCATAGAAATAAAGAACGCTGATGTTCACAGTGATGGAGAAACAACAGTAGTCCAAATAGAGATTGTAAAGGTCATAGAACAATTCCAACTTAATCATTTGTCTTTCTACAGAACTTGGGGGACCAATTCTAGTTTTACAGCACCTTTAAAGTTATATTGCCAAGTTATCTTTGAGGCAAAACTGGGGAGGATAATAATTATGACATTTCCCAAGACAATGAACTCAAATAGTCTATAATATTCCATAGGCCAGAAATACTTGTTTAGTATATTTTAAAACTATATTGCACATCATAAATAAAACAATGTTGCAATTCTGAAAAAGGTAATTCCCACCATCATGACCATTAAAATTAGCTTGTGAAATGTACGTGGCTTCTCAACGATTTTGCATCTGTACGGAAGCAAAATCACTTGGGACAGCTCTTCTGTCCAGTCTGTCACTCACCCCAAATGATGGGGTGGGCAAGAGTCAAGGACTCCGCTAAGGGGAAGGTCAGTTTCGTCATTCTACTGGGTCTAAAATGAGCTGCCTCAGGAGCAAGAATGGAGAAGCTCATGACCATTGGGGAAGAAGAGCAAGGAGCAGAAGGCATCCAAGCCCTGGTACAGATAAGTGGCCAGCGCTCAGACTAGGCAGCAGACTTCCATGCCTGTGGGTGAGAGGCTGGCTCAGAGGAAGGTGCTCTCTGGTCACTTATCAGAACTACAGGAGCTTTGTGCCCTTGCTGGAGCAGGGCAGAGACCACGGAGCCGAGCAGCTGAAAGTCAAGAGGTGTGTCTGTTGGCATGGCTGAGAATAAAAGAAGTAAGAGAACTGTATCTTTAACATTTCTATCACTGACTTGTAACCTGTCAACTTCCTTAATAAATCCCATAATCGTGAGTACCGTCTGCGTTCCAGCAGAGAAGCACAGTGCCAGGGGAGGGCCGGCGGGGGATGCCTGACAAGAGGTGGTGTGGCGTGGGATTCTCCTTCCCGCTCTCACAGCCGGAGGAGGCAGATGTGGCGTCCATGCCATTTCCTCACTGTCCTAAATGGGTGGACTCCCAGTTTCTGGATACAATATACACCCCCCTCCCAAATATATACAATGATAACTTTCACCTCCTGGACTCAAAAGAGCTTACACTTACCTGGACTACCTGTGTCTGCCATTTTGCATAAACTGAGTTCATAAATTCCAGTGACTCGATTGCTATTTGAAGAAAAAAACAAACAAAACAGTTAATTTCTTATAGCGCAAACCCAGGAAAAAGCTCAATTCTCTCTACCTACAACATCATCTGTCTTCCTTGGATGGACTGCAACCAACCTTCAAGTATGAAACATTTCTTGCGAGCCATTGATCCTTTCCTATTCTGGACTTCATGACGATAGGTCTGGGAAGCACCAGTGCTCCTCTCCACCACGTGAACATAGCTGTTTCAGCAGTGAATGCGACACAACAAGCAGCTAGCACTTAGAACACAAACGTAGCAACTGAGCGTTGGCTCTTCCTTACCAGAAGAGAGCGGAGGAGGGAGGGAACGAGAGTCTACACTAGAACGACATGACCAACATACAATCCTGAGGGGTGTCAGTGGTACTTCAGAATCTTTGTACTGTAATAAGCACTCTTAATTTTTTAAGCTAGGCGGTGATATGTAGGTATTTATTATATCATTCTTGATAGATTTTTATACCTTAAATATGGATAATAAATCTTACAAAGAAAACCTCAATGGCAATTTGTTAGAAATAATATTAATAATCTCGTGTAAAAGAGCACTGAGTAACTGCAAAATTGCTTTGGAGATGTTCATTACTCCATCCATCCACCAACACTTTATTAAATCCTAACACACAAGTCACAGCACCAAAGTGGCTGATAGACAGTAGGCTAACAGCAAGCCAGGGGACCCAGAAGGGTGCTGAGTCAATACTGGGCAAACAATAAGGGAGCTAAATTTGCCTCAGGCACTTACGAGTCTGGGGATTTGGAGTAGCCACTGCCAAAGAGGTTGCGCAGAGAGCGTGGCGGCGAGATCTTGGCGTCTCGTGAGTAGAAGACCATGCAGACATCCTTGGTGATGACGGCTGGCTGAATGCAATGATCCAGCTGAAAGCAGACAAGAACGTGCCTGAGGAGCAGTACGGCCGACACATGTGGCTGAGCCTGAGCCCTGGGGTTTTGGAAAGCGAGTCTGAACTATGGGCTGCAGCCCCTCAGAGTCACCGATGATGTCAACAAGTCCATGAAGCATCCCTGGCAGATGCACTCACTGTTCTCAATATTTCCCCCTGTAGTAATAACAAAAGTCAAACCCACTGCCACAGAGTCAATTCCAACTCACAGCAAACCTAATTCAGGACAGAGCAGGCCTGCTCCCTTGGGGTCCTGGGACGGTGAATCTTTACGAGAGCAGACAGCCTCCTCTTTCTCCCACTGACCCTGTCTGTGGTCAGTAGCCCAATGCTTAGCAGCGAACGTTTACTGAATATTTACTATATGCCAAGCACGGCTCCAAAACCTCTTCCATGACCTCTCAACAACCTTTTACGATAAATGCTATTAGCCACCTCTTTTAACAGACGTGGAAACAGAGACACACAGAGATGAAGGAACTTGTCCAAGGACACACCAGCCTCAAATAGCCGTTCAGAGATTTCTACTCAGACAGGCTGGTTTGAGTTTGTGTGTTACCCACTATCAGCCCGTCTGTAACTTCTCATAGTAGTAACAGGAAGCACAAGGAACAAAAGCAACTACACGGACACCAAGTAAGGCACTGCTTAAAAACAACTGGGTAGAAGAGGGGCAGTAAAGTGAAATGACTCCTAGCATCCATGAGAATGGAAGCACAGCACACTCAAGCCTTCGGCACAGAACAAAGGCAGTGCTCAGAGGTCAAAGCATCACAACAAAGGCACCTATCAAACAAGAACTCAACACCTTCACCCCACGGCTAGAAAAAAGGCAGGGGAAAAAGTGTACTGTCACCAGCAGAAAGGAATACAGAGTAGAAATACATGAAACCCAAACCAGAAAAAACGAGAGAACACATTATCTTTAAAAATCCTACATTCTTTGAAGAATAGTGATTAAGTTATAAAACGGACACACTAGCGTCCAGTAGAACTGCCCCACAGGGTTTCCAAGGTGGTAACCTTTAGGAAAGCAGATGGTCACATTTTCCCCAGTGGAGAGGATGGTGGGCTTCAACTACTGACCTTTCCACTAGCAGCAGAGCGCTTTAACCACCATATCACCAGGGCTCTTACGCTACAAACACCGATGCTACTGTAAAAGCCATGTGCCTCATTGGTTAAACAGCGAACAGGACCAGATCTACTGGATTCAGAACAGTTGGCAGGTGAAGTATGCAAGTTCGTGACTTAAGAATGGTGGCGAGTCAAAGAGGCCAAGTCAAGCTTCCCATATCCTTTCACAGCAACTGATGGCCTGGCCCTGGCATTGCGGGCTCCCCAACTTGTGCTGCTGACCACAAGTCGGCGATGTCCTTGGGAGAAGGGGAGGCCTCTGCTTCTGTCAAGGTTCCAAGTCTCCGAAACCCAGAGGGGCGTTCTACGCGGTCCTCTGGGGCTGCTCTGAGCGGCCCCCGACTCCACAGCAGTGGGTTTGGTCTGGAGTTTGGCAGTCCTGAGGTGCCTCACCTCCAGGTAGGCTGACAAGGTCATGTAGATCTTTTCTCCGTAAGGTGTGACGCGGTTCAGGAGGAGGGAGTTATGGAGGGAGCTGTCCCACACGGCCTCAAATCGGTAGAAGGTCCTAAGGCGGGAAAGGCAAGAGGGCGTTAGCCAGAAGGACCGTCCTAAGTCTAGGTATTGTCACAGAGTCTTACGCAAGCCAACACTTTACATGTATCAAAATCTAGTAACAGAGAACCTGCCTCTCTAGGAGAAAAAGGTAGCCCCCTTTCTCCTACCCTCCCCCCCCATCAAGGAGCACTTAGCTGTGCTAACTTGACAATCCTGCGTCAGCCTACACAAATGAAAACAGTGAGGTAATCAAAGTTTAGGATGAAAGGGCGAGTGTGGCTAGAAACTGAAAGCAGACAGTCAGACTCATCATTAGCGTGTTGGCTGTCCGTCAATGCGAACAGGACGCAAGCGCTCAGCAAGCCTGATGCTTCCATCTTCTCATCGTGGGGACGTGAGCACCACGAGGCCTAGTTCTGCTGAGCCGCAGAATGTGAGCATGAACCGGGAACAGGCAGAGAAAGTTCGTGACAGAGGGCTTTGTTTTACATAAGAGAAGTAGTTTTTCTTAGCTAATACTCAAGGAAAAGAAACTGATTTTTTAACACCATAGCCAGACAACCTTACTATTTATTAATTTTTCAAAATTCCACTTGAAAACCAATCTTACGTTTAAATAAATGAAGTTTAAACTCTTCTGGTAACGTTGTTTTGATACATATATATTTCCTCTCACAAACTTCGCGAGACGCTCTTGTGCTGCCGAGCTGGCTCCAGTGCATGACACCCTTATCTGCCCCGGAGGGGAACACTGCTGTCTGCACCACTCCCACCAAGACAGCTCCGCTTGAGCCAGGCTTGTAGTCACTGTGTCAATCCACCTCCTCGAGTGAGGGGCTTCCTCTTTTTCACCGATCCTCCTGACAACATGCCCAAAGTATGTGAGATGCGGGCTTGCCACCCTCGTTTCTACGGAGCATTCTGGCTGTACTTCTTCCAACACAGATTTATTGGTTCTTCAGGCAGTGCCTAATACTTGCACTATTCTTCGCCAACTCCACAGCCATCAGTTCTCCTAGATGACCTTACACCTTCCAGTTCCTCCAGGCTCTGCTGAGGCTGCACGGAGCTCAACAGCAGCATTCTGCAGATCAACTCTAGTGCCCTTGATATGATGGGGCTTTCCACAAGTGTACAGAAAAAAATCCATTATCTTTTAATTCCATTTCTCCATGAACTTTGTGAAGCTCTCTCATACAGCCACAGAGCCCTGTTTAGAAAGCTTCATTTTACTAAGTTTCAGACAAATTCTAATTTGGGGTGACGCATAACTTTAGAACTTACGAGAGCACGAACACTCGCAGAACTCTTTTTGCCTCTGTCCCGTGTTGAGCTACCTGGCCCATCGTGGGGGCTGACCCGTGAGCTGCAGGGTCCTGAGGCTCCTTCTAGGGGCACTGACGACACAGGAGATGCCTGGCCCAAAGCCTTGTGAAAGTGGCCTGCGATGTGGTGCCCACACCGTCACTTCAGTCACCTCCTCATGCTGCTGTTTAGGGCTAACGGTGCTGGCTCTTTTGACTGAAACCAACTTTGGAATTTGTGTAAGAAAGTCCCACCACATCTTTGTTTTCGGCTTAAATTGTCACACTGATGCCAGAGAAAATACACTGGTAGAAATGGGACCAACATGAAGGAAAATGACACGAATTTTGGATTTCACTACAGTGTTCTTGGGGAAATTTTTTTAGCAGAGGCAGTACATAGTTTTGGAATACTCTCAAAAGGTAATGATTCTTGAGAGCTGGTTTCAAGAAACAAAACCCAAACTGGTGGAATGTGGATTGAATCAGGTTTGGCAATTGAGTTCAGGGTGAAAAACAGGGCTGAACCCTAAATGGCTCTTAGGTGGTCAGGAGCTGAGTGGGAATTTCTCAAGATGCTGAGAACAGCTGCAGTATCAACAGAGACACAGGTTTCTAGAATAACCGGGTACAAGACTTTACCTTGAACTTGTTAATTCTGAAAAAGTAAAAACACAACTTCTCCCATGAGCCATCCGTGAAAGAACCTCTAGAAGAGTGGTTCTCAACCCTTTGGTACATTTCCTCATGTAGTGGTGACCCCCAACTACAACCTTATTTTCGTTGCTACTTCATCACTGGCAGTAGAAGAGCTCCGAATGTCGGGATTCCAGGGAATCTGCCAGAGTCTGCAGGATGTGAGCTAAAATAAAATTTTGCTACTGTTATGATGAATCGGGCGACCCTTGTGAAAGGGTTGTTCGACTCCCAAAGGGGTCGCAACCCACAGGCTGAGAACCGCTGCTCTATAGAGAGTTCATCAGGAAGAAGCTTGGCAATGGGGCTGGAAGAGTGTCCAGATTACAGCACACGGCCATTACATCAGTGACACCAGTCACAAGTCAAGTAAGTCAGCTCGACTAACCACTCCTTTACCAGTGTTGACTAGGACTCGTTAGCAAGTTGGACTTCATGTTACGTTTCACTTTGTTCAGTTTCCTTTCCTGAATCAGATGATGAGAAACGGGAAAAAGACCTCCTTCACTTTGTACCCAGGATTTTTTGGTTTCACTCAAGAAAAAGATAGTAAAGTAAAACCAATCACCCTGGACGGTACAAAGAAAAATGCTTCAACAATTAAATATTTCTCACAGACTTCGCTACCGAAATAACCAAGCCTCCACTACTGCACAGGGCACCACAGAGTCAAGAGCACAATTATGCAAAGTTCTACAGGTTTTGAAGCGTTTGCCAGGACAAGAAGGAAAAGCAAAACCTGAGGTGCTGTATGAGGTGGAGGGAGAAGCGTTCTACTTCGTAATGCGGATGAAGAGAACTGGGGGAAGGAGTAAGATAAAATGAGCTAGTGTAGTTAGTGAATGGAATGGAAAGTAACTTAGAACTCTGAAAATCCTCTAAGAAGCTTCTTAGATGTACATACACCGAGAGACCCAGAGCATAAGGAGGAATATCTTATGGTGACAGAATAAGGTATTGCTCTATTCTAGGTACAGCTTAGGTTTGCGTGGGGAAAAACCATGAAGTAAAAATGCTAATAATCAAAGCAACGTAAGACACAAAGCAGTCTGATAAACTAGAATCTATATGTGCAAAAAAGCAAACACAAAGTACCTAGGAATATCCTTATCAAGAAAGAGCCTAAAATCATAGAAAAGGCTTTTGTTAGTGCAGCAAAAAGGTTTTTTAAAAAGGCAGAGAGAAAAGCAGAAAAGAAAATACATAAAAAAGACACATTTGCTGATAAACAAAGTGATTTCACATGGACAATCAACATGGGCCATTTGATACCGAGCATACAATGGCCTGGGTTTCTCTCTGGACATTCAGTTAAGAAAAATGCCGGGAAAAAAAAAAAAAAAAAAAAAAAAAAAAAAAAAAAGAAAAATGCCAGGCATGACCACCTGTGACATTCCTTTTGAAAGCACTTGGTATTGGGAGTGTCAGGAGGTTGATGTGGAGTTAGGGGAAGTCCAACTGAGGTCCGGGAAGAAAGGAGCACCAGCCCTTGTCAGTTACACTGCATTGTCAGATGGCCACAGCCACCTTCTAGTATAGCGATGAAGCACCCAAATCGGACTTCTGCTAGCACAACTAGAACCACTCACCCTTACAGAAACCCTTCACTGAACTCCATGTAGCACTAACCAATGTGCTCCACACCCCGTGCGACAAAGACTGCAGTCTCGATCCCATGCCCAGTTAATTCGCTCCAGAGAGCAGAGCTGCATGCAGATCATGCATCAGCTGTATTTAGTCCCAGACCTGGATAGACCAGTTGTTATTTATAAGTATCCAATTAAAATGAGGGAAATCAATGAACAGGAGGGCTGAAAGAATCAATGAAATGTTTCTATGAAAATTGTTTTAAAAATCTTCAATAATGGTGGTGGTTTAAAAAACAGCGATTAAATTAAAAGCTGGCGAAATAAAAGGGGAAAAAAAGTTTAGAGAATTTTTTGCCTAAATTTTCTTCATAGATTACTAGTTCTTACTCTGCCAAACTGAAAATTGTAGGTGAGAAACTATGGGTGTGGTTTTGCAAGTAAAACAGTAAGAAGTCCAATACATGAGCTATAATTAAAGAAAAGGTCTTGGCCCTATACAAGAACTTGACTAATTAATGAGCACAATACAGTCTTAATTAAGGCAAAAATAGTTAAGGTGTGTATTTTTAATTATTCTATTTTTAAAATGAACAATAAGCTCCTACCATAAAAGAATAAATTCATCATACCCTACAGCAAGTTTCGTGAATGGACTGAGAAACAGCCTGAGGCTGGGCATGACTCGGAGGTGGATACTCCAAGGTCACATGAATGTAGTCAAGATGAGCACAGCCAGCAGTTCAAGCACACGCTACCCTTCTCCAGGGGTTTTGTGAAGAACCCTAGGAAAACTTAAGAGACATTTCTCATAGTTGCAAAGAAAGTATTACAGTGAGTTCCAAATGGACACCTGCTGTAAATGTCTGGCAGAGGAGAGAGAGGTGGATGGAGCTCTTGCTGATTTCAGAGAAGTGACTTTGTTCAAGATTCTGCCCAAGTGTAGTCCAGGGAGGACCCAAGCCCTCTTCTCTATCTCCACTGCTCCTCCGGCTCCCTGCCCACAGCACACTGCTCACACTCCTTCCTCACTTTGTTTACATGTTCCCAGAGAAGTTTGTTCCTTTTCCCTCCTTCTTAGGTAGAACGGTGACACAAGGAAACGATGGAAAGGAATTAATCCTGGCTCACACCTGCCTTTAATTCTGATTCTGCTCACGGTCTTTATGTTTCCTCTGCCTCTTGTGAGCAAGTTTCTCAGGAGCAGATAGACCAAAGAAATCCAAAAAAAAAACAAAACCCCAAACCCCTGCCACTGAGTTGATTGCAACGTGTAGCACCCTTCGTGGGTTTCCAAGTATAGACATCTTTCTCCCGCAGAGCAGCTGGTGGGTTTGAACCACTGACCAGTGACTCGCAGTCCAATGTTTACCAGACAGTGCCACCAGGGCTCCTTAAATGGAAAGCTCTAGGGGAGAAGCCCAGGAAACGGGGTTGTGGGAAGACAGTATTGTAAGTCCGCAGTAGACACTGCCTCTCCTATTTCTCAGCCCTCACCATGTATAAGAGATGGAGCCTACAACACATGTGACCCAGCGCCTTCCAGGGTGAGGGTCCCAGCTAATGTGGAAAATAAAATGACTACATTCTTTATGCTTTCTCTCTCATTACTTTACTGTAACAGAAACTTTTATGGCATGCTAATTTTTAGAATTTAAAAATAAAATTAGTTCCTTAGAAAAGCTAACATTAATTCATCATCTTTATGCATAAATGAACATCCACAGCAAACACTACGGACCCGAGCCTCCATTAGCAGGAGCGAGGGCTCACGAGCAGAGGCTTCACTGTGCCTGGGCGGACACTCAGGAGCGTACTGTCTTTCTCCACAGCAACCCTTTAGTCTCAGCCACACTTTATTTGTACTTCTAAGCCCTTAGGCAGCATCATGCTTAGTTTTCTTGACCGGCTTTCTAGCTATTCCTAGTATAGTTACTCAACCTCTACAAAGGTTAAAGCATTGCCACTTTATAAGGTTAAGTGGTCACAAATATAAATACAGCTCCATTTAGTTACTTTATTTTTGGAGAGTGGGTGGGCAAGGGAAGACAGGGCATTCTGAAGGGAGAAGAGCATTAGTCTCTGCCTCTGAAGCAGGAGTCACTGGTGAATACGGGATCTAATGGAACAGCAGCTGACCCAACAGGACGGACTCATACGCTCCCTCAGGGACCTCACCTGCTGGAGTTATGGGAAGACTTTAGGTACTTGGCAGAGATAATATTTAGGGAGAGGATGGCATCAATTGCAGCTTCGTCCACCTCAGCCTTATTTCTAATCCGGCCTAAAAGAGAGAATTAAAAAAAATTAGAATATACGCAAATTTAAAAGCAAAACCTAAATTCATTAAGTCTCAAACAAGCTTTTATAGCTTGGTATAACTACAGGTACTAGGAAGGCCATTGGGTTTATCGCAGATCCTCCACTCTTATCCATACTGTTCACGTCCCACAGTTAGTCAATTGTGAAACTCTATCGGATCTTTGCTCAAACAGTTCCTCTTATTTATCCAATATTGCAATTCAACTTTCATTTCCAATATCACCCACCTTGCTCACAGTGATCTTCAATCTGAAGTAATTAGCTACTCCATTGGAATTTCTGCTGTTCACATCTTCCTCTTTCTAATCCAGCTGATGCTCACCTTATAGAAACTTCTTAACCCATGTATTTTTTTTAAACTTGGTGGTTTTTT